TGATTCCCAACCCCCCAGCATCACTTGCAAACCCGCCCCCGAGAATCACATGTACAAGCTGCGCAGCAGCAAAACTCCAGCCAGCCAAACACCAGCGCAGACGACACAACTATGACACAGGCGAGGCACTCAGCAGTGACATATGCGGTCCCTTCCCCACCCCGTCAAGGCAAGGGAACAGATACTTTATGACGGTGATTGACACAAACTCACGATACCTAATAATCACCTTCTTAAAAACCAGGGAAGAAACTGCAGAACAAATGAACAACGTACTGCAACACATCAACAAAAACAAAACCCACAAACCAAGGAGAGTCCACACAGATAATGCAAAAGAGTACTTATCAAGCGCGACGCAAACCGTATACCACAACAATGGGGTACAACACACAACCACTGTGCCGTACTCACCCCCGGAAAACGGTATTGCCGAAAGAATCAACAGAACCATACTCAACGCAGCACGAGCGGCATTACACCACAGTACACTCTCCACAGACCACTGGGAAGATGCAATCAAGGATGCAGCATTCAAGTACAATAACACGCTTCACCTCAGCACAGGACAAATCCCCACCACAGTATGGCACGGATACAAGCCACAAGTACCACAATACCTAATATTTGGGCAACTGGGACACATTCCCAACATCATGGGAAAGACAAAAATGCACAAGCTGCAACACCGAGCCATCCCTGTCCGGTACCTCTACGCAACCGACCAAAAACACATCGTGGTCATGAGCACGGCAGACAACAAAACACGACGTGTGAGGACAGTAGACTTCAATGTCTACCATCCAGACCGTGACCCCAACAACAAAGTCCATGTGGTATTCAAGGCATTCACGCCCAAGCCAACCCCCGCCCAAATACCCAACACAACCTCTGCCCCAATGCACCATGGCCAAGCCAAAAATTACCCTGATGCAGCACAGTGAGCGCGACCGCACAACAAAGAGCTCGATAACCTAGACCAAAACAAGGTTATCACGTGGCTCCCCCCTCACAAAATCCCCAAAACAACCAAACCCATACCACTAACAATGGGGTACCGCTACAAAAGGGACCAGAAGGGCGAGATCATAGAGCGAAAAGCAAGGTGCTCAGCAAAGGGGAGACAAGATGATCCCCAACGTCCACTTCAACCCCGAAAAAACCACGACATATATGGCGGACAAAACCACAGTCAGACTCCTATTTGCCATTGCCGCAGCATTTGACATGAATATCGCGCACATCGACATAAAATCAGCGTACCTGCATGAAAAGTTTGACCACTCCGGCAGCGAGCAAGTGTATGTACGACAGCACCCAAGGTTTGATGGAACATACACACACGCACACACAGTGGGCAGGCTGAACAAGAATATATACGGTACACCGGGAGCAGGACACACCTACCTCACTGCTGTATTCAAGCTACTTAAAAAGCACAGATTCAACCAATCAGAGGCGGACATGTGCCTCTTTCACAGAAGAGAAAAAGGCCACACCATAATTCTCTTTATCAGCATGGATGACTTTACCGTCATAAGTACGTCCAAAAAATTACAGACCCAGTTTGCAGCTATGTTGACCACTGCATACAACATCAAGCAACTGGGCGAACCAAGCCAACTACTAGGATGGACAGTCAAGAGACTCAAGAACGGCTCCATACATGCATCACAACCAGCGGCGATACAGTACGTCGTCAACAAGGCGGAAATGGGAGAATGCAATAGCAAACCAACGCCATACAACGACAACACAAAAAAACTACATGGCCCTGTCCCCGCAGACGAACCAATGCCACAGGTCACCAAAACGTATCAACAGCTGCTAGGTGACATCAGATATATCGCAGACTCAACGCGACCAGACATATACTTTGTCGCAAACCGATTATCAGTAGCAGCAAAAACCCCCACGAAAAGACACTGGAATGCCCTCAAGCGTCTGATCAGATATATGAAACACACACAGACGCATGGACTCATATTCGCAGCAGGAAAACACAAAATGGACCCGCACTGCATCCCAAACCTCCTCGAAACGTATAGCGATGCGGACTTCGCAACAGACGTCACAGACCGCAAATGCATATCAGGAATGATCCACATGTACAATGGGACACCCGTGTGCTGGGGCTCTATCAAGCAATCCATCACAGCATTATCAACATGCGAAGCAGAATATATTGCTGCAACATCGGCAGCACAGCAAACGACATGGATCAGACGTCTACTCAAAGACATCGGCATGCTGCCCCAAGACGCTACACCCTTCCACATAGACAACCAATCTGCACTACGAGTCGCAAAGAACAGTGGACCAACAAAACGCAGAAAGTTCATTGACCTCAGACACCACTACCTCACCCACCAAACCAGAGCAAAGGCGATAAGCATACGCCACATTCAATCACAAGACATGCTCGCAGATATATTAACAAAGCCGCTAAAACCGAAACCATTCACACACTTAACAAAAAGGATACAAGTGTGCAACCCCCCACCCCCGCATCAAACAAAGGATCGCGCTACAGCGACGGGGGGAGTGTGATGATAACCATAACAGCGCAGTCGCAGTAGCGCTCACCAAGTGATGATAACCATACACGTAGTACACGCATCACAGCCACGCACAGACGACGGCGAGTGGCAACCAGCCTTAAGCGAGCAGGTGAGAGATAGGAAGATAAACTGAGTCATCGTCTCATCACCACAGGGACCGTCACCTTGCACCGATCCATTTCACAGTGCATCTCCTCCATCGTCACCGTGTCCCTCCTCCATCGTCACTGTGACCCTCCTCCATCGTCACCGCGCACCAATCTGCTCCATCACCTCCGATTTTATCTCACCGGTATGTGGCAAACCGCCGCCTTGCACTTCGACATGATCCAAATTCCCAGAGCCTGGTACACCATGTACTTCATCTCCTGTCTCATCCTGTCTACCTCCGCCCTCATATACCTCAAACGCGCCATTATTTACCCACGCTCTATCATCGACGATTTCAATCACGTCTTGTCAACTTCTGCTTCATGCCCGTGATGATCAGCGCTCTGTGTGTCCTCACAACACCACTCTTCCTCCGAACTCTCAACCAGTTCATCGTCGGCTTCTACGTGCTCGGCACATACCAAGTCGGCCTTGCGCTTTATCTCTGCGGCGACTGGTTGTTCGACTTGCATCCAACCAACTTCATTCACCCGCTCGTCTTCATGCGAATTATTGGCTTCTTCCTGCTTGCCAATATCTGCGCATCAGCACATCTTGTTGACCACACGTTCGCCATGCTCTCCGTCGGCTGCCTATTCTGGTTGCTCTTCTTCATCACTAACTTCCAACACCTCTCCCCGGCTCTTGATAAGGGATCTGTGCGGCAGCAGGCAACTTTCTTTCTGTTTATCGCACCACCAGCGCAAGCTGCCCTCTCCTTCGTCGTGCTCCAGATGGCCGAAGCGGTGAGCCCAGAAAAAACGATTGCCCTTTGCCGACTGATGTCAATCGAGAGAATTGCATGTAACTGTCAACAGTTACATGCAATTCTCTACAGATGTGACTGCACTTTCGGGAACGTTACTGCAGTTCGCACGAATGGCAGTCTGGTGCGTTCTACTTTCGCACAAGCGATGCCATTGCCATCAGTAAGTATATAGGCATGATTGATGATGCATCGTACGAGGGATATAAGTTTATTCCGTTCTAATAGCATCAGAGGCCAATCGCTTGGTGAAAGATGGAGACTTTCTGGACAATGTCTATCCCAACACGCCAGTATGTATGGTATTAGTGATGGGTGTCGCAATGCGCCTATCTCGGTTAAGCGCTCTTGAATACGGTGTACTGCGGTAGTGACCGCGCAGGAAGCGTCTCCCAAAGGTGGGACTGCCTGTCCAGTCAGTGATCTCTAAAAATGAAGTAGCAACAATAAGCGAGCGCAGGCCGCGATAAGGGCGGTAGGAGGTTGAGCACGATCCTTCGCGCCCTCGTCGTTGTTTGTAGAGTGCGGAGCTTGCCCCTTACTGCGCGGGTGCATTTTTGTCTCGCCATGAGAAGACTTTCGCTGTCGCGATGCAGGCGCCAACCCCGGTTTGTCACGAGAATGCTCAGTCCAATGCTATCGCACGCTCAAGGTTGCTGCAATTTATCACACCGGGGGGAATTCAAAGGGCAGGGGACATGAGAGGCGATAGGAGGGCTGAGTAGTCCGGTAGCTTAATAGCCACCGGACTACTCAACCCTGCATCATTATGAAGCTAAAATGCAATCCCCTAGTCCCCGCGCTCCAGACAGAGGCGCTTCTATTGCCATGCCACTGTGTGCTGTACTGACTCTTGAGAATCCTGCTTCACAGACGTCCCGGACTGTAACCGCCCCTGTCGTGCAAGTGGTGTATCTTTCTTGTCGGGAACGCTTCTGTTGCGAGCACCAAAAGCAGCCTGGTGTGTGCTACTCGCCCATATCTGTGCGATTACTTTTCATATGACATGTAGAGCCATTCCGTTCCAGAAGTATTTGGAGGCCTGTCACTTGGTAAATGTCGAACCACTTGAAAATGTACACGGTTGCCTATCCGTGAAATATGGCAAGGTGTCCTGCAATCGTAGTTACGCTTTGTGTTTCGTTTCTCAGGAAGGACTGATTGTGCATATTACCGCTGTACCACCGTACAGCACACTCATCGGATAGGTCATTAGGCCCTGGCGCCGAGCTGTCATTGCTGCCGGGTAGTACATGGCAAGAGGCTCCACGACATGGAGCCGTGTTCTCTCTTTACGGTGTCCTCGTACGATGGGAGTGTATAACACATCATAGTGTCATCTCGCAATTGCTTTGGTCCCCCGAGACACCCGCGTAACTTCGTCCAAATGAAATGACCCGATACGTGGTTGTACCAAAGGCCACTGCATAATCTCCTTCCTCACTGTACATAAAATTATATTTGGCGTTTGAAAACCCGACGATAAATAATCACACAGGTGATGAGCGGCAGGCGATCCGAGATTTTAGCAACTTTTTTTTATTGCAGACTGCAGCGACGCTCGATCTGAAAGATCAAACTCACTAGGAGCGAATACACTCTTCATAGCTATTCTCCAAGCGTCCGCGCTTCAGAAAGGGGATTCTCACCTCCAATGGGACACTTCTCAACTTCAGCCTCAGCGACTGCTGGCGACGGACAGATAGCCCAAGAAGAAGTTCACTATCAGAAAGGACACTTCTAGTAATAAGGCGGCTTGTAGGGCCTCTTCTTGTGGGCCTTCTTCTTGTAGGGCTTGGGCGGGTAACCGTAGCCTCCGCCTCCATAGTGGTTCTTGCAGAAGAATCCCTTGAAGTACTTGTAGTGGGAGTAGATTTTGCAACCAAATGCAACCTTGCAGTACGGGTACTTGTAGCAAGCCCTCCAGGCAGCCTTCTTGGACTTGTAGCATGTCTTAGGGCAGTACCCATACGAACGTTCTGCCACATCCATGTCCTCTTCAATGTCATTCTGCTCAGTGAGATCGCCTTCCATGGGAATCTCGTCCAGGGCGAAGGCGACTGCGACCAGGGCCAGGAGGACCAAAAGGAAAAATGTTCCTGTACGAACCATGTTAGCAAGGGCAAATGTGAGATACGAGCTTGCTGAAAGTCTGTTTGGTTCTTGCTTCAGCTGGAGAGAAGGTAATGAGATAGGGTGACTGAGTCTGGTGTGCACCGGAACTGCTATATTTATAGCATTCTAGATCGCCCAAATCTTCAAGAATGTTCAACAGCTTCGGGTAGCAGTCACGAGTTTAGTCAAGGAACATACACGCAAAACTGCCTCAAATGCTAGGTTTCCATCCTACGATAACAAAATATTATCGTACACAAGGCCGCTTCAACGTTTGCTTTTTGGCAATGTTGAACTCAAGATTGCATTTGAATAAGGGATGCATCCTTGCGAAACCTTTTCTTTATTGGCAGAGAAATAAAATGTGTTCGAGAGAACTTATCCGAACGTTTGAGACGAAAAGGACTCTCCAAGATGTAAGATCTTGCACAAGAGTTGTTACGCATATGATAGAAGGGTGCATGCCCTTTCTACATACTGTATATTTCACTGTTATGATTTGCCAGTACAGCTGAACCTTTCGTTATATGCCCTCACTTGTCTACAGCCACTCTTTTCACTTAGAAGTGCATGCCTTCATAAAATCTCGCACTCTAGGATTGTAATCGTTTCTACGGTTGTCCAACATTGGAAGCTCCCCTCCCAACAAGAGTATCCACGATTGGATAGCAAAGGCAAATTCGTATACTTCATTTAGGTCGCAGGGAAACGAACAAGCTCAAACAAGGATGAGACATTATGAATGTCAACAACAAAAATCGAGGCATGAGAGAAATAGCACGTTTAAATGAGAGTTTTAAAGATGTGTGTCTCTGGCTGAGCTATTGAGTACGGCTGGTGTGGCCTCTATCAGAGTATCTAATGATTACTCTGAATTCTTACCGGTGGATGAATGAAAACCCGCATAGAGTTACAAAACTAGAAAACAATCTTATTCAACCGTGCCAGTCCGATCGGAAGCAGCGAATACTCAAATACGCAGTTTTTTCGACATGGAAAGTAATGGTGTGATAGGGAGCGAAAGGAATTTGGGGATGCTCTATAGTTTTGTTGTGTACTGCAGGGGATCTACCGTTCACTCGCAACTTTTTAGAAAAAACAAAGACGGCGAACCGATGTAACTGTTCAAGTTATGTCCCCTATTGCTACGAATTTGTGGACAGTACATGAACTTGATTACAACAGGGCAGCGAGAAGAAAATGATATGAGAAAACTTGGAATAGACTGGGTGAATGAGTCTTCACACAAGGGCTTTTGGAAGATACTTCAGGAATGGATGGATGCAACGCAATTGCTCCATAGAGAATCTAAACATCAGAAGAGTATCGTGTAGAGGGCAACGCCAAGAAAAACGAATCTGGTCGGCAGCACAAGCTGCCAGGAAAACAATAGTAGAGCGCAAGTGTCGCTCCATCCACCACGGACAACGCCAGCAGAGGACCAAACTAAGTCATAGACTGCCGAAAAACTATTGTACTAGCAATACCACAAAGCCCGTTATTGGCTGATGAGTCCCTCAGTATCAAGATTTCAAGCATCATTGCATGGCTCTGGTCAGCGTTTGTATCAACCGATGGTTCGTTTTCTCCTAACCCACGACGAAACTAGGAATGCCGGGGTCAATGCTTCGTCACCCACATCTACCAACTGTCGTCGCGAGATTGAAGACGTCATGGCAGTGCTACCTCCTTTACGGTTTGCATGCGGACGTTGTAGTATAGCTCCCTGCGACACTGTCGTGGACACCTCCTCGCAAAGCGCATATCATAGGCAAACCATTCCATCTACCCGCCTATCAAGGGGTAGGGAATGACCACAGAATATGCGCTTTCCGCCAAGAACACTAGCTTTCAAGAGCCAGCCCGAGTTCGAAGTGGAAAGAGCACGGTAACAATGGAAATGCGGGAAGGGAGCCCGGCCGCATTTCCAAAGTCTTCCAGTGCAGCGCAGCAAATCCCCTTCTGAATGAAAACAACTTCGTCTCGGCTGAATGAAGGGGAGGGACGACTCTGTGGGTTTTCCAAACGCATTAGGAAACTGAGGGGCGTGTACCAGATCCGCCACGAGCGCATATGCCCCGGGCGTAGAAACTACATTGTTGCCGCAAGCAGCAACCCTACCATTAGGCGTGGACACACGAGGCACGCTAGGGCGTCGAGCAGATTTTGATTTGCTAGAGACCACATCGTAATCAGATTAGGATGCGGTCTCCAGCAAATCAATATAATACAGGGGGGGTCGCGATATAGTGCCATCTTTGTTAGTGCCAGCTCCGATACTGCGGTACCCTTCTGCGGGGTGGCACGAATTTTGAGCCAAAAACAAAGGGTCTCTAGAGAGGCAGTTGGATGGACGTACTGCCCGAGAGCCACTGCCGCCGCGGAAAGATATTATGCAGTTGCTAACTCGAATAGAGTCTATGGCGGAAAAAGGCGGGGCTGATGATGCAATTAGACATCTGCAAAAGTGTAGGCTGGCATTTATGGCTGCGAAAAAGGAGGAAGTCAATGCGACGGCTCGGCAGCTACTAATATCATAAATGCTTGATTAGACTTGAGTCTGTAGTGAAGATGCAAAGCATGAGTGATGGCGTCGTGCGAGCGGACTTTCTGAGCAGTGATGTAAGGAAGTGGTTGCAAAAAAAGCCGTAAATCTCATTATCTTACAGTGTGTTCGATATGGTGCCGTTTTCGGCCCACTGACATAGGGTAGCACTATATCGCGACCCTCCACTGTACCACGTCCCGGTACAGGGGGGGGGAACCCCATTAGTGCCACTTTTACTTATGCCACCCTCCCACTAATGCCGGCCAGATGCACGAACACGAAAAGTGCCACGTGTCACACGGGTCCGGGTGTTTTGCTGCGGTTGGTCCGTCGCGCGTGAAAACATGTGAAAGCGGCTTCTAAGCCCGATCCTACTGTACCTACCGAACAGCGCTCACAGACCTTAGCTTGTCCTCCTTATGGATCTGGTTCCGGAATAAAAAAAGCAACGCGCATGCGCCTGACAATAGCGCAGAAGCTGGACATTGCAGATCTGCTCGACAATGGACACTGTGCCGCAGCAATTAAGCGACAGTTCGGCATCGCAGGGCGCACCGTGCGAAAAATCAGAGCTACTGCTCCCACATTACTCCGCGTAGCCAACAAGAAGCCAAAATCACTGCAAATAAAGACCCGTCAGGCCGTAACGGTCCCCAATCTCGAAGCAAACCTGCTCGAATTTCTCAATTACGCCAGATCGGCGAAGATGCCGGTAACACAAAATGTCCTGCAGACGAGGGCACGCATGATCCGGGAACACATGCTCAAGGCCCCAGCGACTGAAAAAGAACACCGCGTGCCTCACAAGTTTACAGCATCTCGCGGGTGGGTGGAGAATGCCAAGTTTCAGACGCTCTATCGTCTCGTTTCTCACTGCAAAACACGACAGAGATCCAACGCGGAGCGGGCTGACGTTAATTTGCAAGTGCATGAAAATAGATGTGACGACGTCACCTACTAATGCCATCTCCCAATAGTGCCTGTTTTTGGGGTCTCGCACGGGGCGGCACTAATGGGGGGTAGTTGGGTCTAGGCTTGGTATAAGATGAACGAACGAGTTTGGACACGTGTATGACGAGGTACCGCTGGTAGGACTGTTTGGCAAAAGTAGACAACAGCAGTATGAATTCACCCGCGATCTTAAGGAAACAAACGCGTACCCACCTATCGCTCTACGACAATTTCGAAACAGCTCGCCAAATCCCAACATGCCTGCCTTTACGCTGCCGTCGGCGGTAACGAAAACGTTTAGAGGCCTCGAAGACATCGCGACGCCTACAGGATACCCTCTCTAAGTCGGCACTCAGGGCTTGCGAAAGGAGCTATTCTTCACGCGAAAACGCGGCGCGAAGGAGCTTGCTCGCGGCAGCTCCGGATAACTGAGTGGTTCCAGTAGTAGGCGGTTTTAACGTCCGACGCATTTGCTTCGCAGAAAAGATTGCTATCAAACTTGCTTCTAGCTACAGTAAGCATAACCTTTCAGGCCAGGTAGGACTTGATATAGGGCGACCTGGACAGATTCGGCCGGCCCCTTCCTCCCCTGCCCCCGTATACGTGATGCCTGGTCCAGCAAAGCATTATATCCTCTGCACTAATCACGCGCGGGTTTCAGTGTAAAAGACTACCTCCAGGGATTACGCGTCTAGCAGAGACAAAATCAATAGGTGATCTCCCTGTGTGGTCTTCGTGACACCGCGGCGGTCTTCCCAAACAGGCCCAGTGTTTTGTGGCTTGTATTGTATGAAAGTTTATTTGGCTCTCCAGTGTATGAGTGGAACATCCTTTGGGGCTTGCGATTTGACCTTGCCGATCGGCATGCAGATCGCAAGGATTTGTCTTAGTCGCAAGGCTATGTAGTAGACTGACCGAATATCTCTGAATAAAAGACAGAACTACAATGCGGAGGAAGAATAAGGTACAAGGGACAGCGCAAAGGTGTAACAAGGCGAGCGTGCTTTGGACTTGGTGCCATAGCAAAATAGTGTCTCACTTCCTACATACCTTCCAAAATATAGAGGTCCTCGAGAATTCACCGACTGTCGCAATGCTTCACCTCGGCTTGAATATGCCCACGTCTCTTTGGGACCGAAATCGTAAAACCGGCGGGACCTGTGACAAGCCAGACCGCTGCCGGCCCAGCAACGCAACGATTTAGAGTGTACCACACGTGTATAAGGCCCGGGCACACACTGCCAAAATGTTTTCTTCTGATGCGTTCACGGCAAGATTCTGCGTGAAGGGCGTGCTCCTTGATGCTGTCCAAAATCAGGCCTGCGACACACTCTAGCAAACTTTTGCAACTTTCCTGCTTTATTTCTGACCGATTGCTTGTGGTGATCGCCCAGATCACAACTCCAGACAGTTATGCTGAGGGATTTGGGGATTTAATATTTTTTGCAATTTGGAGCCATTCCTTTGGCTTGATTGTGTTTCAGGTGTGTATTCTAGACTGCAGGTTGCGTGTCCTTGACCAACTATATGTACTCCGCTACCCTCACAAACCAAGAAAAGGGAAGAATCCCCTTTTTTTCTTGCAT